TCATCATGCCATTAAGATTAGGTAGCAACGAGGATGTGACGTCACGTCCGGTTGTGGTTCTGGTTTACGCAAGATTCCAGTGTCCCGTTTTGACCGGGAAATTCCCTATTTCACCCCTCTTTCCCGCCCCCTTCCCGGCATCTTCCCGGACCCCCGGAGTGCTGGACCTGCTGCCCCAGGGCTGCTGTCAGCCTGCAGCCTTCTTCTGCTGGAGGAGATGTTGGAACTTTCTGCAGCACTTTGAATCATCTTTCCGGTGTTCTAGGAAACGTTAGTGTGAAGAGTCCATTTCCAGTTCCGTGTGTTTGAATACGACCGATATAAAATGATTTCAGCCGCTAGAACAGGTTAGGGTTAGGGTTAGGGTTATTCCCAGATGTTCCGTGTTTATCAGTGAAACACAGTTTTATATCTAACTGCAGGTCAGACTGAAACATGGTTGGAAAGTTCGTGTCAGTAACTCGGTCAGCCTAAAGCACTAAAGTGTGAGACAGCTGCGGGCCGGGGGGTCCAGCCTGTTAGGGTTGTGGTGATTGTGGCTCACAGCTGATGAAGAGCTCACAGCTGATGAAGAGCTCACAGCTGACGAAGAGCTCACAGCTGACGAAGAGCTCACAGCTGATGAAGAGCTCACAGCTGATGAAGAGCTCACAGCTGACGAAGAGCTCACAGCTGATGAAGAGCTCACAGCTGATGAAGAGCACACAGCTGATGAAGAGCTCACAGCTGATGAAGAGCTCACAGCTGACGAAGAGCACACAGCTGACGAAGAGCACACAGCTGACGAAGAGCTCACAGCTGACGAAGAGCTCACAGCTGACGAAGAGCTCACAGCTGACGAAGAGCTCACAGCTGACGAAGAGCTCACAGCTGACGAAGAGCTCACAGCTGACGAAGAGCTCACAGCTGATGAAGAGCTCACAGCTGATGAAGAGCTCACAGCTGATGAAGAGCTCACAGCTGATGAAGAGCTCACAGCTGACGAAGAGCTCACAGCTGATGAAGAGCTCACAGCTGACGAAGAGCTCACAGCTGACGAAGAGCTCACAGCTGATGAAGAGCTCACAGCTGATGAAAAGCTCACAGCTGATGAAGAGCTCACAGCTGATGAAGAGCTCACAGCTGACAAAGAGCTCACAGCTGACGAAGAGCTCACAGCTGATGAAGAGCTCACAGCTGACGAAGAGCTCACAGCTGACGAAGAGCTCACATTAGGGATTTTAAATGGAGAATATCCGCCTCCTGCACAAGTACAATCGTGCATCTGTACTTCTGGTTTTGAAGAAGTAAATGAACTTTTGCACCATCTTGTAGTTTCACCGTGCTAACCTCAGTGAGGACATCACCACGTGGACTCACTGGAGGTGCAACAGCTGAACATGTGATGATGATGATGATGATGATGATGATGATGATGATGAGCAGACACACGCTGATGTAATAAGGTACCAAAAGCTCTGTTTCTACAGAGGTCTGCACTCAGAGCTGTGAGCTGGCAGCTATGATTTACATGACGGGAAAATGTTGCAGCGTAATAATTAAATGTGAGAACTACGGCTGAGTTAAACATCTGATCCTGTGTTTGTTTGTTTGTTTGTTTGTTTGTTTGTTTGTTACGTCCTTTTAGACTCACTCCTTTAGCATCCGGAACGAGCCCCAGCTGAATCCTGTCCCGGAGCTGCCGTGCTCCTCGGCTTCTCTGCTGTCCTCAGGTGAGTCTGTCACCTCGTAAATATTTGTAATGATTCAAATAAATGACCCGCGCTTTCTGTCGGATGACTCTAAAACACTTCACAGCGCCTAGTTTCACTTGTGTGAAAACAGCATTTAGCAGCGCCATGACATGTCTTCCCTCTGGTCTGCTCAGTCATGGACCTAGTGCCACCAGAGGAGACATCACCAGAGCATGCTGCTCCTCCCGCCACTAACAGCAGGTGAGGGACTTCAGCGCTGGTTCCACATGTGCTGTGTGCCTGATCATCATCCAGATATGCTATCAGCTACAAAACTCTAATTTCTTCATGGATGATGTATTCTGAATATATATCAGGTTGTAATGCAACCCTAACCCACAACACGTGTTGGTTATTCTATGTGTCGTGTGGTCTAAGATGACGCGTGCTTCATGTCTTCTGTAAATGCAGTAAGAAGCAGCGTCCACCATCACCTGATCCTGCATCTGCAGAGAACGGAGCTGCTTGGACAGGACCGCATCAGGTAACACCTGGTTTCATTGTTCCTCTGAGATGATGGAGGAAGTTTCCACCGTTACTTTAGCAGGACCTGAGTAAACAATAAGAAGCTTGGTGAGATGTTTAGTTTAGTTGCAAACGTTTCTTCTGCTTCAGAAACGTTGAACACCCAAAGGGCTGAGGAGAAATGTGAGTGCTGCTTCACCGGCCATGAAAGTAGTTCTGCAGACCAGTGTGCTCATATTGTTGAGATGGTTTACTAGAGCTGTTTAAATAAATACAGCAAGTACAAGTCCAATTACAAGTAC